TTCCATATCAAGACATAAAACAGCTTTCTCATTGTTTGTTATAGCTACGTAGAGTTTCACTACGTGGAAATTCCACAGTATATTTAACCAACTTTTATTAATGGACATTCAGTTTATTTCCAGGTCCCTGAGTGGCACAAACAGTTTGCACTCCACTACTAATCTAAAGGTTGGCAGTTGAACCCACCCAATGGTGCTACAGAAGAAAGGCCTGGTGATCTAATTTCATTAAGATTACAGCCAAGAATTACACAGTGGAATGCAGGTAGTCCCTGACTTACAACGTATTCAAGTTACTATGAACCACATTTACGTTGGTCTGAGTTTTTTTTTTTTTGTACATCTTGTTATTAGTAATATGTACTACATACAACATTGCAGTGTGTAATAATTTGCTGATGTTATCATTCTCAGATGTTCACTCGCAGATGTTCAAAGATTGGATTTATAAAGATACTGATAATAAAAGGAGATACTAATGAAAATTGTTTTAAAAAGTAGAATTCGACGTACGTCAGAACCAATTTACAAAGGAGTGGTCAGAATGGAACCCTGTCTTAAGCTGGGGACTACTTGTAGTGCCAAATTCCTCTCCAAGGACATTGAACCCATTGAAATACCCACAAAGGGTATAAGATCCAGCCTTTTCCGTCTGCCTGGACAAAATAGGTATATGTTTTTTCTTTTCTATTTTTTTCAAATAATTTATTTTGTTGTTGTTGTTGAAAATATACACAGTACAACATACACCAATTCATCAATTCCTGCATGTACAATTCAGTGACATTGATTGCATTCTTCAAGTTGTACAGCCATCCTCACCCTCCTTTTCCGAATTGTTCCTCCGCTATTGAGATAAACTCACTGCCCCTAAGCTTATTATCTAATCTTTAGAATTGTGTTGTCAATTTGATCCCATATAGATAGTTCTTTAAAAGAGCACAGTGTGCTCAAGGCAGACATTCTTTACTAGTTAAGTTAAACTATTGTTCAGTTTTAAGAAGACTTTGGGGATATTTTTGGTCTAAGGTTTAAAGATTATCTCAGGGCAATAGTTTCAGGGTTCATCCAGCCTCCACGGCTCCAGAAAATCTGGATTCCATAAGAATTTGACGTTCTGTTTTGCATTCTTTGCCCTTTTGATCAGGATTCTTCTATAGAATCTTCAGTACAAACATTCAGTAATGGTAGCCGGGCACCATCCAGTTTTTCTGGTCTCATGGCAAAGGAGTCAGTTGTTATGGAGGCAATTATTTATGTTTCCTCTTAATCAAACTTTTGGATATTTGCTAATCTGATAGTTGAAAGATATTTTATGGTAGGACAGCCATTTTTAAACCTTTCTGCGCTTAGTTTTTTGTGTTAATTCCATTATCTCAAAATAGTTCATGTCTCCCATCCCTTCTTGCTTCATCAACATTACCCATCCTTCCTGCTGTAGTCTGGAATGATTCCATTCACTTCATCCCCCCCCTTCTACCCTCCACCCTTCCAGGGGAATTCTGCCACTATTTTTTAGAGCCTCTGTTGAAGATTTCTGGAACTGTGTCATGATCCAGTAGAGCAAGGATCAGCAAACTTTTTTGTAAATGACGAGATAGTAAATACTTTAGGCGGTGCAGTCTGTTGGGAGTCCTCAACTCTGCTATTGTAGCCCAAAAGCAGTCACAAGATGACACACAAATGAATGGACATACCTGTTTTCCAATAAAACTTTATTTGTAAAGACAAGTGGTGGGCCGGATTTGACCTAAGTGCTGTAGTTTACCGACCCTTGCTTGAGAGGATTGTGAAATAACTTAAAAAAAAAAAAAAAAAA